GCAGGTTGCTATAATGATGGACACACGTCATCACACACTGCACCACCCACAGGATGCGCGCCACCCTCGTGAGCCCTCTGGTCACCCAGGGACTGGGGGTGACGGCGACACGTCCCATCCTGATGAGTAAAGCGACAATGGAGGAGGCGGTGTGGGGCCGGGGAGAACTCTCCGGACCTTCCTCTCAATGGTGCTGTGAACCTTAAACCGTACTAAAAATTAAAGTCTTTACAAAAAGAAGACAAAAGCACCTGGTGGGCGTGGCTCAGTGGTTGAGCGTCGACCTATGAGCCAGGAGGTCACGGTTCCATTCCCGTCAGGGCACAGGCCAGGGTTGCGGGCTCCATCCCCAGAGGGGGGCGTGCAGGAGGCAGCCGATCCACGGTTCTCTCTCATCACTGATGTTTCTCCCTCTCCCTCTCCCTTCGTCTCTGAAATCAATAAAAACATATTTTTTAAAAAGACGAGCGCTATCACCACTGTAGCCAGATTGCCGGTTGTGCCCGCGGGGGTGGGGGGTGCCAATCAGAGGGGCCTGGAGAGCCGGCCTGCGACTGGCACGTGACCAACGCACCCAGGTGGGCCCGCGGCCCGCAGCCTCCGCATCTGCCGGGAAAGCGCAGACTGAGTTCCCAAACTGTCGGCCTAACTTCTCTCGCCAAGAAAAATAAAACCACCGGCAGCGGCTGCCAGCCATTCTCTCCGCTGTCCCCGGGGCTCCTGGGGCCCCGCCGCGCTGGCTGCGACCGGAGAGCAGCCTGGGCTGGGCAGACGGGCAGCGGGGCCCCCTCCGGCTCCTCCTCACCGCTGCCCTGGGCGCAGCCTCCCACACTGGCCTCCCCGGAGGGCCACCCTACACGGAGTCCGTCCGGCACAGCAGCAGCAGCAGCAAGTCTGTGATGACTCCCCGCTGCCCTAACCCTTCCAGCTCTGCAGGTGTCTTACGTAACCGTCGCCCGTCACCAGGGAGACCAGCTCTGTGGGCACGGCTTCCCCGCATGACCCGGCTGGTCTGGACCACAGGCCTTGCCCTTCACCCAGCCAACGGCTCCCAACCCCCCTCCCCACAGACTCTGCCCAGGCCGAGGGCTGCAAGGCCAGGCCCAGGGCCCCAGGGGCTGGGCCCCTGGCATTTCCAGACCTGCCTGCTGCCTATGGTCTCCGTGCCCTTTAAGAAGCTGGGTGTCCAGGGAGGCGCGGTCCCTCCCCTGGGACCCAGCCCAGCCTGGCGCCCCTTCCCATGATTGGCTCTAGACCCAGCCTGTCCCTCACTCCTCTAGCCAACCTTGCCCTTTGACCCACACTGCGTGATGTCCAGGGATTGGGCCCAAACCCTGCCTGTCACCAGGGAGAAGGAGGGTCCAGGTGGGACAGGTGCCCCCCACTCCGGGGAGTAGGGCCGGCCAGCGGTGGCCGTGGAGACCACTGCCAGGCCCTGGCTGCCACTCCCTGTCTCCTCCTGTCCCTGCTGTCGGGGACCCGGGCACAGACCCTGTGGGGTGTGGGCTCCCCAGCTGTCACCCACATGCAGCCTTGCTCGGCACCCCCCGGGGGGACAGGGGCTGGTCCCCTGAGGAGACCACGTAGCGGTGAGAGAGGGACATCGAGGCCAAGCCCTTGATGCTCCCAGGTCCTGGCGGTGTGACCTGGGCAAGGCACGTGGCTCCAGGCCTCGTGTAAAGGGGGCCCCAGAGAACCCGTCTGGGAGGGGGTGCGATCACCAGATGAGATGATTCACAGAAGAGGCTTCGGTCGGAGGGTGGGGGAAGGCTGGGGTGTGATGGGCCTCGGGGCCTGGACCACAGACCTCAGCAGACGCCCCGCCCTTCCCGAGAGTCAGGGCTCCTGGTGCTGGGCATCCTGGCAGCGAAGTTGGCAAAGCAATCGCCTGAGAAAGCCCCACCGAGCACCTGGCGCCGACAAGGTCCCGGCGGAAGGAGGGCTCTGCCCCCTGGGCGGCCGCGCCGGAACCGTCAGGACTCACTGACCTGGAAACGCCTCCCAGCTCCAGGGAGTAAGGACACCAGGACCCACCTCTCGGGGGGCACGACCAGTCACCTCTCACTGACAGGCAAGGCGGCCTCGGGGTGGACGAGTGGCCGGGTCCCCGTGGTCCCGGGGAGGGACCAGGCTGAGCCCCGCAGCCTGGGGACCCGCTCCTGTCATCATGGTGAGACAGCGGGAGTTGTTTTAAAGCCACTGCGCCACGGCGACCCCTGGGCCATCGCGGCCTCGCTTCAGAGCCGCGCAAATATTAAAGCCTCGTTACCCGCCCGCCGCTCCGCCGGAGGGGGGCATCCCACAGCAACAGGATCGAGAGAATTGAGTAAATTCATCAATTAAATAATCATTCGCACGAGGAGTCCCCGCTCGCCAAGACAAGGCAGGGAGCCTCACAAGGCAGGGGGCCTCTGCCTACCCCCGAGGGAAAAGGCTCCGTAACCTTCGCCTCGGACTCAGTTGCATAGCAGGGACCTCAGTTCCCGGGATTCAGCAGAAATTGGGAGACAAGACGGCCCCACCAGCCGAGCGTCCCCTGCCCCGCGTGCATGGGGTGAATTCCTCTGCCTCTGTCCCCTCTAGGACGTCCTGGGCCCCTGGTCAGGCTAGTCCCGTCATGTGGGGTGTAGGGGGGTGGGGCTGGAGGGGAGCAGCCATGCCTGAGGGAGGGGCTGACCTGCCACAACGCCCAGCCTCCTGAGCCTGCGTGGGGCACCTCCCTCCCCTCTGCTCCGTCATCACGTGAACCTGCGTATCCCCTCCATCTCCTGTAACGACTCTCTCTGAACTGAGGGACCGCCCACCCAGTATGCAGTCATCTCAGGCTTTACCTTGATGCTACCAGCAAAGACTCTATTCCCAAATGAGGGCACATTCTGAGGTTCTGGGGAACACATTCAGCCCGCAGCTGGTGTGGCCACAATCCCTCAGTCCATTCTGCAACCTGCACTTGGCTGCCCACTGCCCACGGCCTCGGGGAGTAGGTGGGGCGGGAGCAGTGTGGAGAGGCAGGCCGGCGCCCACGGGGGCCTCCCGGGCACAGCGAGGAGCCTCCCTCACTCTGCACGGTCTCCCACCCACCAGCTCAGACCCGGCTTTGCTTTGGGGTCAGAAGGGCCCACGTGGCATGGCCAGCAGATGCGCCCAGACTGGTGGGCTTTAGCTGTACACTGAGCCCCACCCGCCTTCACCAGCGGGAAGGGCTTCCGAATCCATTGCCCCTCTGGCCACCACCCTGGAGGGCTG